GTGTGTGTGTGTGTGTGTGTGTGTGTGTGTGTGTGTGTGTGTGTGTGTGTGTGTGTGTGTTTGTTTGCGCGCATGCGCGTACTACACTACCGCTGCCCTACATATCATTTCTGTGTTTGCCTGCTCTGCAGCGGAGGAGACACAGACCTCGTGGAAATAACCTCAGTGTATGTACCTCTCTCTCTCTCTCTCGCTCTCTCTCTCTCTCTTTCTCTCTCTCTCTCTCTCTCTCTCTATCTCTCTATCTCTCTCACCTGGAATACTATATGGGTGGCTTCGAAACACAGGTGCTCCTATTTGAGTGGACAAAATTCATGACAAAATTAAAGTTTTCAGGCCATTCTGTATTTTGGAAATTTTTTTTATTTTATTTTATAAAGGCAAAATACAGATCCAAGTCATTTGTAACAGATAATTGTTTCTCCGTGAATGGTTAAAGTTTTTATTTGTCCATAATTGTTTACATTTTATATATTCTAATACCAAGATTTCAGGATACCAGGATAGTGATTGTTTGTGTAGAACATTCAAAAGGTGCTATTGTCTTTCTGTTCTCTAAAATTGTGTTTTTTATGATCTTTGAATTTCTATTTTTATTTGTCAGTTTAAAGATAAGTTTAGGCTAATGAGATACTCAGTTTAACCATGATTGAAAAGCAGGTTTATTTCTTAAAAAGCACCATGAAGCAAAAAAAAAATACACTGATCAGAAGGTAAGCAGGCTGTTGTACTTCCAGCTGTACATATACTCATGTATGACAGCTGAAGGCTGGTATTTATCAATTAATATGCCACATCCACTGTGTTTTAAGCCTGTTTATTGTCACAGTAGATGGATGTTTTATACTTTGCCTTAATGAATAAGAATTTAATTATACAGTGTGCTGATTTTTATTCTATACTCAGCACAAAAAAATCAGCATTTGGTTTGTGTGTTTGGTAGATGATTTTTTTTTGTAACAATGCTTCTTGGCAATAAATCTTATATCATTAGAAAGCCTGTTAATTTCCCTTTTAAACGGTGCCACATTTGTAAGGAACAATCATTTGATGGATGAGCAGAAGAGCGAAGTATGTGGGTTATTTACTTTGCCAAACAGCTTTTTCTGCTGTTGCTATTAACACTAGTTTTGAGCTTCCATGTGCTGTCAATCATGTGCCTGATTGGTAGCACATGTGAGTATAGACCTAGCTTCAATGGTTGGACTTGTAGGTGTCTGCTCCAAGAATCCGCATGTCACATTTGACTGATCTGGATAGGGCCTGTTCGAAAAGGCAACTTCAAGCTTGTGTTCCGCAAAACCAAGCTGCAGTATTATATGAAGTGAGCCCTAATACCATCTCTATATTGAAGGCTAAGTTCTATAACAGGGGATGTCAGCGACAGGCAGCAAAGTGGGCATCCCAAGAAGATTGGGCCTCATGCAAAAACCAGTCGTACTCACAGATTCGTTCTTAAGTTGTGCGTACGAGCGATTTAGGAGAATTTGTGGCATTCACCAATGTTTTCGTATTCTAAGATTTTTTTCAGATACGAACAAAATTCACGAGTGGTCCAGACCTGTCGTATATTGTACGAGCAGTCAGTCTGCTGTTATCCAGACGGATTTTCCTCCCTAATAACTTTATATTTCGTTAGTTTGAAGATATCTTGAGTTGAAAAAAGCTATAACCATAATATTATATTCACACTTAAAAACCACTTATACTGTCACATTTTAGTGTTTGTTGCCATTTATGGCTTTAATAGAAAGCAGAACAAATGACTTCTTGTAGTGGTTCAGTCTACATGCAGGAACTCTGAAGTGCTGACCTGAAGGGAGAAACTGATACTCTGAGTGAAGGGTACGAGTGGAGTCTGAGATAAATTTGAGCCTGTCTGGTTCTTGTTTCATTGAAAATGGCCTGAAGTGAGGAATGCTCCCTCACTCCCATCGGCTTCATACAGTAGCTCTTTGTGTGTGTGGGACGAGTGAGCTGTGCCTTTGTTTGGATGGACAGGTTACCAAAGCAGCTTGAACACTTTGGCCTGCTGTTCATGACCAACACAACCACGTTGGCTGGCTTGTGACAAATGAGGGCTGAAGAATAGGATGCCATCCCACAGCAGTGTGTGACCAAGCTGGTGACACACTGAGGAGGTTCAAGGCTGTTGTTGCTATGTATGGTTCTTCCACAGAGAATAAATTGGGAAATTGCTTATATGTCTTGTTTTTTTGTTTGTTTTTTCAAATGTTCATCATTCAGTCCACCGAATTCAATGGCAGACATGTGCACAACCCACATGTCTACTGTTCATCCCACAAACGCATATTCCTTACAATTGTGAAACCACTTAAAGGGGAAATGAACAGGTTCCCTTTCAGTCAATTCACTCGGTACAACATCATGTATGGGAACCACGCCCCTGCGTGTCCTGGCTGAAGC